TCGCCCATGGCCATGGGCTTTGTCAATTTATTGGAATTTTTTGGCACTGTAAAATAATGGTTTACATTGTAGGGTGATGGTGATGAGACATGAATCTAAAGAAAAGAGAGAGATACGTACCTCAACCAATTCATGATTCACAGCAAGTGTGGTACTTTTGTGAATATTTTTTTATTTAAAACATATTGTTAGTTTTTTTAAATTTTTCCTTCTTTCTTCTTTTGGAAGGAGTTGAACATTTTTGTAGCATCGTTTTATGTGATAGAAAAACGAGGGAAACTACAACTTGTTGAGGTTAACTTGGACTTGTTGATCACATGACTATGTAAAGGACATTTGACTGACATTACAGAAAGATGACAAGAATGACATGGAATAATTATAGAGACATATGTCAGGTAGGAGTTTTCTTCTTCTTTTTTGTTGTTCTTTTAACATTGACAATGCACAGTGTTTTATAAATCTTGGCAGGTGTGGATGCAGTAGTGAAAAATTGGAATTGAAATAGTGGGACTTGTGGTTATAGAATAGTCTGATAGATACTACTTAGATTACTGATATCTGTTCTGTCGTTCATCGAGTTAGTGTCTTTTTTAATATATATCATTTCTTTTATGCATCTCTTGTAGTAGTTACTTTCATAATCAAGAATTTTAACGTTGTTAAAGGAAGTGGTATGATCATTATCCATTAGATGTTTAGTTAGAGCGGTTGGGTTTTGTTTGTTGTAGTGATGTCCTTTCAATCTGTTTTCTAAGTATTGTGTTGTCATGCCAATATACGTTTTATTGCAATCATTGCATGGAATGGAGTATATAAGATTTGAATTTTTTAATATTGGGGTTTTGCTTTTAAGTTTTGAAAAAAATTTGTTTGTAGTGTTATGGGATTTATGACATGTATCTATGTTAAATTTTGATAGGATGTGTGAAATTTTGTGTGATAAGCCATCAGTGTATGGGATGGATATTGTATTTAATGGGTTGAGTTCTTTCTGTTTTTTATATTGTGATTTGTTGTATAATCTGTGTACTCTATGTTATACAACAAATAACGTTCTATGATAATAACACACAGCACCATTTCTACTGGGCGACCTGGTTCTACTGCGGCTTCTGTTTCTACAAGATTTAACAATAATTGGGTCACCAATATGTGATGGTTATCACATTTATTTAATGGAATTCAGTAGAGATATTGATATAAGCAGATGATATATATTTGAAAAATCTCTAATTAATTTCTTATATGACATATATCAACAACATTGTCCTAGCGACTATTCATATACCACATGTTCTTTATTAAATATAAATAAATATGAATAAGGTTGCCACACATATCATAGCTACAGCTACCATATCAAATGAGCACAAGATATGGTATTACGGATATGCCGTCCTTCGGAGGGGACGTTGAGCCGGCGGTCCCGAGGCCATTGATGTTGGACTCGTTCCCTACCTCTGGTTGGAACACCAGAGGATTCGGCAAAATTTCCGGTTGGGGGTATAGTGTGCTCACCAGCGTCTGTGATTAGCCTCAGTAGCAGAAAAAGTCCGACGTTAAAGAAACGAATAAAAAAAAATCGTTGAAGTATGCCGGGAATTTTCAGAAAAAAGAAAAAATATTCACCTCTCCGCTAACAAATTCATCCTAGTTGAAGGGTGTAACCTCACTATATTCAAAATTAAGATATTTTGAAGCAAAACAAAAAGAATGGTTACTTGCGAACGGCAGCTGTTGGTCAGAGAAGCACTATGGGTTCGTTAAATAGAAAAGATTGCATAACTCAATAATCAAAAAAATTAGGCGTCACTCAACTTTTGAATTATCACAACTATTGACCCAAGGATCACAAGTAGCTATCTGGAAAGTTAAGGAACCAAATAGAAGGAGTTTTATAAAGAATATTTGACTGCATATTAGTGATATTTGAGAATTATAAAATTAGTGAATGTTCATCATACCATAAATAAAAGTCATAATAAACGTGACACATATATTATATACACATATACAACAACGTGATGGGTGAAAATGTTTCTGAAATTTAGGTATATCCTATTGACAAAAATTATTGAGAACAATCGATGCACATAATTATGATAGATGTAAATATCAATATGAATATGTATTATATAATGTTTTACAGACAAAAAATGTGATCAATCGTTGATCATGTGATAGATGTAGATATTATCAATTTAAAACTCATTATATAATATTTTACTGACAAAAAATGTGATCAATCGATGATCATTTGATGGATGGGAATATGATCAATATAGGAAATCATGTAATTGAAAAAATGCATATTCTGATGTTACCAAGTCTCTAGGTGATGTCTAGTATAAATAATCAAACAAGTAGTAAAAAAAATCAGCTATTCGCAGGGGCTACCGCATAGTACTATGTTTCGCTTACATAAGCATTTGAAGTTGCTTATTGGTATCTCACCAATCTACTTGGTCAAAAAAATAAATCAAAAATTAATTTATATACCTATAAAAATCATAGGGACAGAAATTTGGTCAAAACAAAATTATTATATATTATACCTGATTGATCAATAATTACCACCCTTTTAAAGAATATTTCCCATCACGCTGCGGACAGACGAAGTTGACAATTTAGCAGCTGAAGCTGGCGGCTGGAGCAGACAGAAGGGCAGCTGAAGCTGAACGATGTAGAGCTAGCAGGAACCAGATGATGCGAGCTGGGACGGGACAACCATTGAGTTGCTGAGACTGATGGATGTAACCAAAGCTAGCAGCTGAAGTCGACGACGTTACTGACGATGTGACACCTCGTGGAGGACCACATGGTACAGTAACCACATGGCTGAACTGTACAGCATCGTATGCCGGGATCAAAAAAATGTGGGCTTGAATGCCCTCCCAAAAAAACCCTATTTGAAAGAAAAAAAAATACCGGTCACGCCTGGAATCGATTTCTGGTGGAGAAAAGTGGGAATAAACTTCCATAGGACTCACCTTCTTCGAAGGGTACAACCGGAGATCAAAAAAATTGCTCAGGTCCACGTGGTCGATCCTGGACAGAGACTTCTGGCTTGCCGGGAACCAAATCAAACGGCTGGAGTTTCTGGAAAGATCCTGGTGGTAGCAGCTATGAGGTTTCCACTGTCCCTTGGAAGGCGGGAATACAAAATCCAGGCTGAACCTGTTACCTCACTGCTGAAGTTGCACCTTAGCACATCTGATCTCTGCTTCGAACACCAGAACCAAAGTGCCCGTGATAACGTACTAAAGTACCTTTCATCTTTCCGGAAACGGATCTCTCGCCATTGTTCTATTGTCTTGGAAGACCAGAATAGAAAAGGAGCAGAAAATAGTGACTTTCGCAAATTTCCCTTTGAACTGACCAATCCTGTGATACCATTTATGATCTACACCTGCACGATTCTACACTACTCTTACCAAATTCAACAACTTCTTAGGAATTCCAAGAATAAACCTGGCAACCTCGATTTTGGTATTTTTGGTGCGAGAAATGGGAGGAGTTTTAGATGGAGTGACAGAGGTGACAGTGATGACAATCTACAAGTGATGGATAGGTGGACTCTGCTTTAAAAAATGGGATGAAAAGCAAAACAATGGAAATAAACTTGTGAAAAAATCCCAACCGAACTGAAGAGGTATTTCCCACATGAGAAAAGACCTTATACCAATTTCCAAAAGGTATCCTGCGAACCATCATTGGACTCCTGTTATGTTCTGGTGAGTAGTTTGCCAACTCTGCTTGATAATGTAAATAATACAAATCCTGTATTTTAGGAAAAGTATTCATCCTCTCATCACCAAATTGGCTAAATCAACCTCGAGATTGACCAAGAATCATTTTGTCATCACTATGTTTCGTATGTACTACTCTTAAACCTTTTAGATGTACCAGGTAGGTTGAACTGAATAAAGTTGTGAAATTTTCAGACGTTTCCTTGATGAACTTTGATATTTACCATACAATAATTTCAAAAAAATATTTTGATTCCATTTTAAGCCTAATATAAAGTGTGAAAAACTGGAAAGCTATACTAATATCGAGAAAAGCTGTATTCCAAATATTCTGAAATCCATGAAAATAAAGTGTGAAAAATTTAAATGCTACAAGGGTCCACACTGTATATTATACAGTATGGTGCAAATTGAAGGAATAAAACCATTTCTGGCCAAACTGTGCATTTCTGAAAACCTTACTGACACAGATCAATCATTTTTCTCAATTTTCCATATTCATCAGTAAGAATTGGATATACAGGGTGATCCACGTTAGAGTTCTGACGTCCGCAACAATTTTTTCAAATGGAACACCCTATATATTATTCAATATCCCCAATCTCCATGAAAAGCTGGATTACAAAAGGATTTGACACACATATATTTCGTATACAGTGCGACCCCATTCCACGAGAGCACTGAATTTGATGAACGCACTGTATACAAACCCTATGTGTGATATAATCCTGAATCCATCTCCTCGAAGAGATTCGAAGAAACGAATGAGATTTAGAGTGTTCCGTTTGAAAAAAACGCGTACGTCAGTATTCAAACGTGGATCACTCTGTATATCAATTTTCCTTACAAAAGTAGCGAATTAAAAATAAAAATCGATCTGTTTCGGGAGATTTTTTCGAAAAAGATAGCTCGACTGAAAGTTAAGTTCCATCCACCATACTTCACGAGTGCACTCAATTCAACGGACGCACTGAATTGAAACTACAAAACCTATATGTAATATATTTCTGATTTCAACTCTTCATGGAGATCCCACAAGAATCGAATGATATAAACAGTGTTCTATTTGAAAAAAAATGTCGTCAGAACTCCAACGTGGATAAGCCTGTATATAAAATTCAATTTTAACTTATATATAAATGTGGAAAATTGAAATAAAAAATCGACCTGTTTCAAGAGTGTTTTTCAGAAATGGATAGTTTGGCTACAAAATAAATTTATTCCTTTCATTTGCACCATACTGTTCACCTTTTGGTATCTCCTTGAGGTTGTTCTTGTGCAGTATCACATATTTGAGACTCGGCACATTTCTAAAGGCTTGCGGCTCGAGAATCTCCAGACTATTTTCCTGTATGGATAGCCATTCCAGTTTTGGCAGATTCCTGATAGAATCCTTGCCCAGCCGCGTTATTTTACTGTGAACGGTCACCCTTCGAAAGAGTCCCCCTGTAATTAAAAAATGTATACTTGCCTAATGTGAAAGAATAGAATGTATGTGAGAGGATAGAACAAGAAGAGAGTTCGCGGTAAAAAACAGCCAAGTCAGATGAGTACATTAGCAGTAGGTAGCGAGAGATCCTAGAGGTTTAACTTGCTGTCAAACTAACCTATCACAATCATTGCGGAAATCCGATAGTTTTATTCGCTGGCTGAAAGTGATATATAAGTATGAAAAGGTTATGAAAAACAGTACTTTTTGGAAATCATCAATATTTTTCTCAAACTTGTTTAAGTGTAATTCAATGAAAACCAAAACGCAAAGTTGGTCGACAAAACAAATTTACTAAATGAGAATTAAAACGTAACTTGTTTCGGTAACGGAAAGGGGTTGAAAGTACTAACTTGAAAGATGAATCATAGGCAACATGTGATGAATCAAAATCAACTAACCTCATCAACACATGTTGAGCACAAATATTTGAAAAATACAATATTAAAATAATTCTATAGTTTTGAATCTTGAAGAAATTCAGAAGAACATACTAATGATTTGGTTCAACATCAAGAAAGGTAAAAATTTTGATATTCATCACAGACAAACAGCCCAAGGAAGCAAGTATCTACACAGAATTATAAATGAAATCATTGATAATGACAGCACTGAGATGAGTTACAGTAAAAATAACAAACAACAATAATATATGTATCGTGTACCCTAGGAACCCTAGGAAATTTCAACCAAGAAAGATCTAAGACACGGATAAACCTCAGCAAAGGAAGTCTCAAAGCAATAACGGGATTTTTAACAAGGCATTGCAGACTCGAAGAACACCTCAGGAAGCTAGGCTTACAGGAGGACGGCACCTGCAGATTCTGTGAGGAAGAACCAGAAACACCCCATCACATATTGATGAAGTGTGACGCTGTACATCACAAAAGATTGAACATACTGAGAACACACCAGCTGACTATGGAAGAAATACCACAATTAGATCCACTCAAATTCCTGAAGGAATTGAATCTTGAGGGGCTGCTATAAACAAGAAATTTTTGATATAGCAGAAGCAGATGGGGCACAATAGATCCAATCAGGTCGCAGCGCATATGTCACTATTCAAGCTACCTATACCAATACCCTAAGAACTCTGAACCAATGAATAATGGTTATTCACCGCTATTATTCACTGCGGTGTGAAAAATAGCTATCGTTTTGCTTGAGGAAGTACAACAGTCGAGGACAAATAATTAATATAACAGGTATCTTGAATATTTAGTTTTCCTAATGTCAAATAAGTCATGATGAAACAGTTGGCAAAAATAAATTTATATATATATATATATATATATATATATATAGATTAGGTATAGGTTTTGTGGGGATGCAGCTGATGTGGGACTCAAAAGAAAACTGTTTTTACTATACCTAATCTATTGATTTATACAGCTACTAATATTAATTGAATATATATATATATATATATATATAAAAATATATCAAAGAAAATAGCTTTTATTATGCTTGTTGAATGATATACTATGCACTGTAACTCTTGTCAGTGATGTCGAGGTCAATAATTGAATTTATAATTCTATGTAGCTTACTTCTAGGAATAAGGAGAACTAAGGAACTGCTGGATCATTCTGGAAGTGAAGCCATACTCAAGACCCCAAAACAGATTACGTATTCCGTACTGCCCACCATAGGCCGCCCTCCGTACGCATCACGCCCGAATTCTCAGATTGGAACATATTTTATCAGTCGAATATACGTTGAAAATATTTTCTTGGATAATTGAGTGTCTAATTATTTGACCAGATTTGCTTTACATATAACATAATCAAAGCGAATTTAGCAAATGCCTATTTTGATTCAAATAACAGCGCAAAAATCAAGATCTCAATGAGGGACTAAGCTATGAAAATATGTGAATATACGAATCATTAAATATTATCAACTGATGCTGATATTGAATTCAAATCACCATATCACCAATTAAATAAGCATCAATGTGACCAAAAGATGGCCGACTCGGCATCCATGGTGATACGTAAACATCATAGGAAGGAGCAGTTCCTTAGTTCTCTTTATTCGTAAGGGTTACATGCGAAGCGTTGCCAACCGTACCATAATTAGGGTATCCGTACCATAATTTGGCCCTGTGTACCATGTACCATAATTGTACGCCTTTTGTACTATAATTTGGGCATGAAGAGCAATGAGTATATTTGCTAGTTAATTTTCACCAATTTTTGCTTTCGTTGATACATGACATTCGTCAACTTCGCTGATTTCACAGTTGATTCAGAAAGTTTTTCACAAAACATATACTTCACGAATATGTAAGGACGTTTGTTATGTGTGATTCACCTGAGAACTCACATGTGATGTTACCACAATTCTTCAACTCAAACTTGACAACGAAAATAGGAAAAATTGAGAATGGAATGCTTCTGTTGAGTTATGCAGTTGTTTTTCATTCTTTTTGGAAAAAATAATTCAAAATTCAGTCCTGAATCTAAATGTTATTTCATCTCCCAATTGTCAATACCAGCCGAAGTGTTATTAATGTCAAAAAACATTGCCAATTCATGACTGCGCGCTTGCGTGTACCATAATTTCAGATATTGTACCATAATTTCAATCTGTTGATACCATAATCGTGAATCCAAAGGTTGGCAACGCTGCATGCATCCTCGGGCTGCTTGTCTTCATGTTATCATAATGATGAATCTTGTTTCTTGAAGTTTAATCAAACTAAATCATGGTTCTTCTGGACTTTCTCAAGATTCGAAGCTACATATTATCATCTCAAGTTAGATTTAGATTAGATTTCGAATGGGGCCTTCGGGCTATCTGCCTCCACACCGCGACCTTTTCAGATTTATTGTGTCTGCCCTCAAAATCGATTAGAGTTCTTCGGCTAGCCCCGCCTTCTCTATGAGACTCCATAGGCTAGCTTTCAGATCCCCTGTGTATCTTTGGGCTTCTGGTTCTTCCTCAGCCAGCGTAAGGAACCTTAGTCCTGACAAGCCCTCACAGTGGCAAAGTATGTGTACTGCTGTTTCCTCTCCTTCCTGAAAGAACCTGCACAGCAGTTCTTCAGTCAGACCTATCGTACTCATGTGTTTGTTGAGCCTACAATACCCTGTGAGATGTCCCACTAGTATTCCATTGCAGTGGTTTTGCCTTCAAACTCTTGCCTTATCAATTCTTTCACGCAATGATGTATTGCGATAACTTCTGCCTGAAACACCGTCGCGTATTTACCTAAGCTCAGTGAGATTCTTGTCTTTGGCTTGGCCCCATAAATACCAGCTCCTGATCCTTCCTCAGTTTTGAAGCCGTCCGTATGGACAGCAATGTCTGCATTGATAGGAGGTCCTTTCTTCCATGCCTCTCTGTCCGTTATACTTATTTTTGAAGTTTTTTCAAATCTATATTTTGAAATAATGCCATCCGTTGGCATTCCCATGATGGGGTCGCTTTCCAACTCTTCATATAGCTTTCTATAGTCTTTAACGTGCGCGTTGCTTATAATTGTTTGACCCCTTGACAATCTACTCACGTCTGCTCTGGCTTCGCCTTGAATATATATTTGTAGTGGTGGCAGGTTCAAGAGGACCCCTAAAGCGGCTGTTGGAGTGGTTTTCATTGCACCAGTGGCACTCAGGCAAGCTTGCCTTTGAATAGCATTGAGCCTTCGAATCACTTCAGCCTGTTGTGTCTTTGGCCACCAAACTACTGACCCATATGCTATCATAGGTCTGATGACGCTGGCATAGAGCCATGTGGTCATTTTTGGTTGCAGTCCCCAATTTTTTTCCGCACATTCGTCTGCACAGATTGAAGGCTACTGTACTTTTTTGAGCAATTTTCTGTAGGTGTTCCATGTTAACTTATGGTCAAAGATGATTCCTCAGTATTTTGCCTCTAGGGCGAACGGAATTTCTACCCCGTTGAGTACTGGTGGCTTTAATCCTTCCAGTACTCTCTTTTTCGTGAAATTCACTATAGAGGTTCAATGAGGGTTCACGGTGAGTTCCTTCTCTTTACACTACTTGTCTATCATGTTTAGAGCGGTTTGTGTGAGCTCCGAGACCGTACTTGCGAATCTACCTTTAGCGATAACCGCCAGATCGTCGGTGTATCCTAAGCAGAAATACCCTTTGGATGTTAGCCTTTTAATCTGTTCATCCATTAGAATGGCCCATAGCAGGGGTGATAATACTCCTTCCTGTGTGCATATATGGTGCATATCCTATCTGCTCTATCTGTCAGAGTTGTCTTGCCAATTGTTGATATGATAACCCTATTATTCAAATTGACATTTTTATCCACTGGCACTCCTTTCCTTGCTAGGGCGTTAACTATAGAGTTTGTTGGTGCGTTTTTGAAAGCACCTTCTATGTCTACGAATGTTGTTATAGCCATTTCTCCATCGACTTTGTGAGTAGCCTGTTCAGATCATCCAGTGCTAAATCAGTTGACTTGCCTGGCTGATACGCATATTGACGTTTGTTGAGAGGGTTTCTGTGTAATTCCTCGTCTCTTATGTATCTCTCTATCAGTCTTTCCAGTGTTTTTAGCAGGAACGACATCAAACTTATTGGGCGGTATGATTTAGGCGCTCTGTCACCCACCTTTCCCACCTTGGGTAGGTAGATGACTGTCACCTTCTGCCATACGATGGGTACATATCGTATTGCTATAGAAGCCTTGAATATACGACACAGATGTGGAATTAGTATTTCCTGACCCTTTTGAAGCAGGATGGGGTATATTTCATCTACTCCAGGGATTCCCTTTCGTGCGCTCCAAGCGATAAAAAAAAAATGACAGTTGGCCTATTCGGCCTGCCAATGGTGCTGTCTGCCACTATCGGCTTATCAAGAAATACCGATGCCGGAAAGTGTGCTTCAGTGAGCATCTCTCTCCTCAAAAGTTGCTGTGTAGGTATCGTCATTTTTCTTCAGAAAACCTACTTGGTTCACAGTACCTTCTTTGG